TAGGCCTGAAAAAATTGCCCGATTTTCAAGCATGCAGAATCTGCCAGACTAAACACTGACCAACGTCTCGCATGCGTAGGGTGTGTATATTTAATATTCTGACCGGAATGAATGCATGACTGCTTAACAGTCAGGGTCAATATTGGCTGTTTCATTGATACTTTGTCAGTCTGTGGCTAGCTTTGCTATTGATTACGCAAATTGAAGTTGTGTTCTTATATAAATACAAAGATGCTGAATCGACGTATACCATCTTTGGGACATATAACTTCCAAGCGATAAAATTTTTTTTTCAAGAATGTTCTTAGAACAATTGATAGATTTTCTATTTTTGTGCATATCAAGCTTGTTTAGGTTGATTTCGGAAATTTGTTGCACATCAAGACGAAAGCAACGAATAAAACAACAAGACGACTGCAATGCCAACATCAATGTACCCAATCCACCCTCAGATCTTTTTAACCCAGAACACAACTTCGTCTATAAAGAATTCAGTGACGCCAGCGAGCCAGAAAACGAAATCGAAGTAAGAGGGTTACTTCCAGCAGACAACACTGAGTCCGTTTCCAACTATAGCAGCTTGGAAAATGCTGACGTAGAATATCGCTTCAGTTTCCTTGTACCTCAAAAATCTGGGCGAGGACTTTTATTGTCGTCCATCTCACGAAGTATTCCCACCAACGTTACAATACTATTATCAGCAATAGTTATAAGCGGTATTGCTGGCTTCTTTGCTTACTTGGATTTGGAAACAACAGATAAATGCATCGGTATTGAACCCCACCTAAATAACTCTATTCCAGAAAAAGTTTTAAAGTGGAAATTAATCGGTGAATCGTGTCAAGCATTGTTACTCAATTTTTGGTTTCCTGCCACAATTGCTTTATTATTCGGTCGCAAAGAGTTCCTTGACAAGTCCAGGTCTTTATTGTACATTGGTTCAATAATGGGACTATTAGTTGTGATATACAAGGCGTATTTATTTATATATTGTGACTCTGATTTTAGAGATTCAAACTATAGGTATCTAGGGAATGCCATATTCTTTCTTGGAGTGATCCTCGGTTGCATTCAAATTGCGCGTGCAACAAAACAATCAAAAACAAGTATTATGTTTAAAATTGGACCGATATTTGTGCTTTCCTTGTTCATGAGTCTATCGTATCGTAACTTGATTGTTCCTTGGTTTAATGAACAAACAGGTGATGTTAACAAGGCAATGATTGCAGCCATTATTCCTCTGTTCTCTCTGATTCCAGTAGCTGTTGGCAAGTACATCGTGTTGTGTCACTATACTGGTCTTGTTCAAGCTGATGTTTCATTTGTTTTAATTTACTTCAACAATCTGATTCCTGTCGCTCTGTACCGGATCATGCAAGCTGAACTTACAGACTTAAGATTATTCGTGACTTTTTCTTTACTACGCGGAACGTTCAACATCATTGCACAGGTAAGATTATACATGTGCATTTTCTCGGTTACATCGAAGTGTTCACAACGACATATAATGCATGGTATATTAAAACAATATGACGGTTTGGAGTCAGTATTTCGTTTCATTTCAATAACCGTGTGTAATTTAATTTGTTTTTGTTGCATGCCATATATGGTTGCGTGCCATATATGGCATGCAAGTTTCATGCAGCTCTAAATTTCGTGTCGTCACGGTGAGTGGTGAGTGGTGAGTGTACCAAATCATGTGGCAGATTCGTAAAACACGACACTACGACAGGTACCGAGCTTTTCCGACGAGCATTTTCATGTGATGATGTGATCATTGTGATGTGAATCACTCGCGCACGTTTTTGACTTTTTGTCCATGGTTTTCGTCGAGGAAACGCGAAGAAAATATTGATTATTCGCCGAAAATGTACATCATTGAGCCAGGGCCTTTTCTAAGGATTTTCCCGTGGGGGGCGGGGCAATTTTTGAAAAGGGACTTTCTATGATAATATATTAATGGGAGATAGCAATGGCTGATGGCCACATGTGTGGCCGACATACCACGCATGAATAGGGGAGGCTAGGGGCATACTCCATCAGAAAAAAAATTGAAATTTGAAGCCCGGAAATGCATTTTCCTGTAATCTGAGCATTCAATTTTGCTCCAAATTTTATGCTAACTATCGTTTCGTATTATGGAGGGGAATAGCAATGATCGAAGGCCATGTGTGTGGGGGCATACTCTCGCAGAACATTTTTAAATTTTAAGCCCGGAAATGCCATTTCCTGCACTCTGAGCATCCAAATTTGCTCTAAAATTTATGCAACTATACTAGCTTGTATTTGAAATAAAAGAAGGAAAAAACGCACAAAAAATAAAAGAATCTTTATCATTACTTAGTGATAGAAAAATGTAACAATTTAAATCGATTTTGTTAAACAAGGACAAAAGATAAAGCCTAAAACTTACTTTCAGTTTATCTATTTATTATTCTGATAATGCGATCCGCTGCAAAATAGGTCCGCTGATAGAGTTTGAGAGTTTAGATTAATCTCGTCAGATGAAGCATTCTCTAATGAACTTCGAAGGTTTGCACGAGATTGCTCATAGGCTTTGCAAGAGAGGAGGAGATGGCTTTTCATTTTGCACCTCTCCTGAATATTGCAGATTTTATATAAGCGTTCTTCACAGGGTATATTTTGATAGCGCCCGATCTCAATTTGGAGGTTATGGTCGCTGACTCTAAATCTTAAAAGAAAGTTTTCTTTTCTATGGATCTTTTCTAACTACTAAGTAGTTTTCGATGTTGTGGTCCGTTTTGAATGTTGAGTAGAAAGTCAGTTTGGATGAATTTTCAAGTTTATGTTTCCAAAATGTTAAGTATTTTTCCTCAAGGGTTTTGGTCATAGTTTTAATATGTTCAGTCGTTACGGCTTCCAAATTAAGGATTTCTTCATTTAGATATAAATTTTTGATAGTATCCATTGCATTTCCGTAAAAAGACATTTTCTGCTTGGAGTGCAGATCTTTCGAGATTAGAAAAGCTTGCTTCGCAATGGTTGTTGGGGGAAGTGAGTTTAAGTGAGTGATGTATTTGAAGACCCTTTTGAATACGTTAATGATAAGAGGGAGTTTTCCAAGCTCAGCTCTGAAGGCAATGTTACTTGCTTTCCCACTAATAGCAAGGTAAATTTTACAGAACTTAAGATGAACTTTTTCAATTGGTGATTTATCCCAATTGTTGAAATCATTGGGATTGGGGGAGGGGTACAGAGGGGACTAGGGGCATTCGCCCCCCCCAGCTTGTATGTTAAAAGGCCCTGCATTGAGCAACTTAGAAAATAGATCGAGGTAGGTAAAGCTTTACTGTCTTTAATTTATCTTATATTCTGTTATTTGTTGTGGTTTTTGGTCATTTGGAGTCGTTGTGCTCGCAATGATTATTTTTAATAATATCAGGCGTTATTTATATGTCGTGAAAGACCACGCTATCAAAATACTCAATTTTTGTGATACTCAAATTGAAACGGAGCCATTGTGCTCGCATTGATTATATTGTGTGCAAATCATTAAAATTACTACAATACATATTAATATTGAAATTTAATACAACGAAATAGCAATCTGCTTCGATAAATTCAATCATAGTTTAATAATTATTTTCAATCTATTATAGCAATTCACCGTTTCCACTGATTTGTGTTATGATTGAAATCTATTATGTACGAGTCAATTCCAACTGCAATCATCCCCGTCCCCCCGCGAACCCCCGGGAATTTGATTTTTTAAAAAAAGACGGTCAAATTTCCGAACAGTGCGAGTGACATTGTCAAATTCCCAACAGTGCAGGCAAAAAACATAGTCAGATGCCCATATCTGCCTCGTACGTTTTCCATATAATTTTACGTGAAGAGAACCAGCTTGACTAGACTTGACTTGGCCGATCATAAAATTAAATGTTATTTAATTTTATGATCGGCTCAAAACTTTTATTTTTGCAATTTATATAGTTTTGCAGTGCCGTCTCTTTTTATGTTTGCTATTGCAAGTTCAATTTTCTTTTTATCTATAAAATATCATAAAGACACATGCCTTTTGATAGAAATTCTGCAAGAGAACAAGCAATTGCAATTACAGCCTTTTTGACGTCCCTAGTCGAGTTCTAAACTTTATATAACGGCATTTTATGTAAAAACTATTCACGCCGTGCAGTGTGTTTTTTATACACGTGAAAACAAATCACATTCATCAACGTTCATCTAGATCAAGCACTTCGCGCGACCGCTGGCTAATTTTGCGCCAGTGATCAGTCAAATGAAATGGTCAAATGTCTGACAGTGCGCGAATGCCGGGCATTTGACCCATTTCATTAACGTCTAGTCAAATCCCGGGGGTTCGACCGGGGTGGGGGGGGGGGAGGTGATCGCAGTTGGAATTGACTCGTACATTAACAGTCGATCGCTTCAGGCGATAAAACCTTGATCTTGTTTTTACCGTTTCTTGCAACTAACGATGAACAGTCATAAAAACATTGCCTATTCGAATCGAGTGAGAATCTTAAGTTTTCTTGTTTTGACATAATAGCTATTTTTCAATAATTATACTGATAGTGAATTTATTGAATCGATATTTTAAGTTTTAGGCCAGTTGTACCTGAAGTTTGTAGTCGATTTCACGAAACTTTGACCACAAATGTTCCGAACATTGTTGCGAAGTTCAAACAAAGTGCCTGATTGGTTCCTGAAGTAAAAGAAGCCAATCAAATAATACAACTGTAATATAAGCGCTAGCGCATCATAAAGTTTCAGATGGCATGCAACATGTACGCAGTGCGTACCTATTTTTTAGCATGGTTTCAAATTTGATCATGAATGCAATTTAAACATTCTATAAGTATGAATCATCGGATACTAATTTATGTACTAATAATAATAATAATAATTTAATTCTTCAGTGCGCATTTACAAAAATTTCTCAATGCTCATTACAATGGTATTATACTTATTAATACAGTATATATTAGATTATATAGTTAAAAATTTGCGAATACTAAGAGCTAACTGTAAGCTTGGTTAAAAAGAAGAGTCTTAAGTTTATTTTTAAAAATATCAACAGATGTCTCTAGTCTCAATTCATCAGGCAGGCTATTCCAAAACGCCGATCCAGCCTTCCTAAATGTTCTATCGCCATATGTTTTCGTGATTGTCCTTGGTTCTTGAAGCAAATTTTTAGAAGCAGATCTTAAACACCGCGAAGGCTGATGTATTTTCAGAAGGTTTTGAAGATAGGATGGCGCCAAATTATTTAAAGCTTTAAATACTATTAACCCAAGTTTAAATTGGATACGGCTTTGTATAGGAAGCCAATGAAGTTCTTTCCAAATGGGAGTAATATGCTCTCTTTTATTTGACCTTGACACAATTCTAGCGGCTGTGTTTTGTACATGTTGTAGTTTCTCAATCTCACGTTGTGGAAGCTCATAGAGGAGACTGTTGCAATAATCAAGACGAGATGTGACAAAAGCATGAACCAACCGCTCCGCAGTCGATTGGTCAAGATACTTCCGTATACTGCCAATGTTCCTCAAAGCAATGTAAGCTGTTTTACAGATTGAATTTACATGACTCTTCAGAGAGAGATTTTCGTCCACAATGGCGCCAAGGTCACGGACCTCAGTTTTGATCTTGATTAAGCTATCACCAATATAGACGCTGGGAGGAGCTGGATATGATTTAGCATATGCAGAATGTATATAGATAGCTTCAGTTTTTCCATCGTTTAAAACCAGTTTGTTTTGAAGGCACCAAGCCTGAATATCATGAAGACAATGTTCAAGACGCTGAATGGCAGTGTCAGAATCGTGTTTCTTTAGGATAATGTAAAGTTGAGTATCATCAGCATAGATCATAGCATCAATGTCATGGGCAGTAAAAATATCTTCTAGTGGAGAAACGTAAAGAGAAAAAAGCAATGGTCCGAGAACCGATCCCTGAGGCACACCTTGTAATAGCGGAGTTGATGCCGAAGTTTTACCGTTTACTTTTACATACTGAGTTCGAGATGTGAGATATGACCGAAACCAGGATAGAGCTGTACCACAAATTCCAAAGCGAGATTTCAGACGGCCAAGTAGAATTTGATGGTCAATTGTATCGAAAGCTGCAGAAAAATCGAGCATTACTAGAAGAGCTTGATGGCCAGAATCAAGTGCCTCTAAGAGATCGTTTTGAACACGTAAAAGAGCTGTTTCAGTGCTATATCCCTTTCTGAACGCAGATTGGAGATTTGGATATATTTTATTTTCCATTAGATAATCGATAAGTTGGGGAGATGCGACTCGTTCGATCGTCTTCGAGATAAACTGTAAATTTGAGATTGGACGAAAACTACTCATATCTTCAGGATCCATCGATATTTTCTTTAGGACAGGTGCAAGTTGGGAAACTTTCAAAGCATCTGGCATGGAACCACCGCCCAAAGATAAATTAACAATATTCGTAATAGGTGTTAAGACCACATGAAGACATTGTTTCAGAACCACAGTTTGGTTAGAAATTTCCTTGTTAAGTTTCCTGTAACTTGTTAAAATCGGTTGGAATAAAACGCGGATACGGACGGACGGACACGCGGACTGACAGGCAGACGGAAAGGCGGACGGACGGACAAAAAGGATAAAAGACTGATGCGGACAAAAAGGATAAAATGCGGATGCAGACAAAACGGATAAAATACGAATGCAGACAAAATGGATAAAATGCCGGATGCGGACAAAATGGATAAAATGTTGATGCGGACAAATCTGTTTCATTGCTCTAACATAATTCGTTATTCCAGAGACAAAATTTATAGACTACAAACACAATGAATTCCAGCTGGAGTTTCACTCGCCTGTCAAAAATGCATCATAATTTCATTTTAGTTAGTGTAACGAAGGTCATAGAGAAATTGTGTTGGTTTGTTTTCCCGTAGTAAAATACCATCACCGCGGTGGTGTTAATTTATGGATGAAAACAGCATGAATGCAATAATATAAGAAATGCACAGGGCTATTGCTGCCTTACCCGCAATGTATTTTACGGAAATCCCAACGCATAACAACAAGATATTACATAAGGGTATTACAACAAAGTATTACGAATGTATTAAAATACATGTAGTTATGCAAGACAGAGGCTTTGCAACAAATAACTGCTTCAGGTATGAACCATGCTGAATAGTCAAATTAGCGAGCTAAAGAATTCATTGACCGATGACAAATAGTGACAAAGCAAATAGTAACTTTGAAGAAAAATTTATTACCCAAATCACTATAAATGTTTTAAGTTATTAACTGTTAAAAGTACCTCCAAGCTCTGCTCTCGGAGTACATTAGGATATATTAAAATCTTTAGAAAAACGAAAGCATGGACTGCATGGCTACTACAAATACTGACACTCGTTATCAATTTCAAAAGGTTTGATAAAAATTGGCGAGAAGACACGGGAGTCTCAGTTTAGGACGGAATAACAGAAACCGCACGTGTTCGGTAAACGGTAATGTTTTTAAGTTATTCTGCGCGAGAGTGATGTAAGAAATAACATGGATGTCAGGCCTTTAGAATAAAAATAAAGGCTTGAGGAAAAGCTAGTCAAAACCTGTTCCGCCCACTTTGTTATTTTTAAATATTCATTAGTGAATGATTAACATATATGTTGTAATTCATTGCTATTATTAACTAATACAGGACGTCGTGTTAAATAACTATATAGGACAGTTCTTCCGAGTTCTTCCGGCTTGTATTTGGTATACTACAATATACAGAAGAGCTGTCTAATTTATTTATTTTGGATAATGAAGTTAGCCGAATTTTTGTCTTATAAACCTCGAACACCAAGACATTTATATAGGTCGTCTGTTCCTGTTCCACAGGGTGTATAAAAAAAACTGAACAGATTTTAAATTGCTCTCAATTTCGCAAAACAGCTATTAGTATCTAATTTTTAATGTATATAGCTTCTTTAGGTACTTCTAATGTAGAATAATGAAAAAAATTTCTCAAGCTCAAATTTTGTGAACCAGGGGTGTGTGTCTTTTCCATCAAACTAAATATGGCTTGCGCACGAAATTTAAAAGCTTTGATCATATTAGATCAGAGTTAATAGATGGAACATTTGTTGGGTTTTTAATTACTGTACAAAACTTCAGACAATTTGCTTTAGTTTAAGCCCTTTAGATATTCATTTTGTCCTAAAAAATCAGCCTTTCCCATGCTTAATTAATGCCTTTACCTCATTTGCATATTGCTGACATATGCAAATTAGGCAAAGGCATTAATTAAGCATGCAAATAGCTGATTTTTAGGAAAAAATGTAAGTTTGCGTGAATAGTTAAAGGGCTTAAACTAAAGCAAATTGTCTGAAACTCAGTTTTGTACAGTAATTAAAAACCCAACAAATTTTCCATCTATTAACTCAAAATATGATTAAAGCTTTTAAATTTCGTGCGCAAACCATTTTTAGTTTGTTGAAAAAGACACCGCCCCCTGGTTCACAAATTTTGAGTTCGAGAAATTTTTTTCATTATTCTAGATTATAAGTACCCAAAGAAGCTATATACATAAAGACACTGGATACTAATAGCTGTTTTGCGAAATTGAGAGCAATTTCAAATCTGTTCAGTTTTTTTTATACACCATGTAGTATTAGTAGCGCATGCAGGCGCGAAATACATGACGCTTGCTAAATTCTAAGTCGGCCAAAACTGTTTTTTAGAGTTTAGATAAAATAATCATGATGTTAATTTCTAATACTTCGTTAAACATTTCAAATCGATATCGCTAAGTTTCAATCACAAATACTTTAAATTTCAAAGCGAATTATGTGGTGGTGACAGCGAAATACATGATGCAAGCTAAATATATACCGGTCGGTCGAAACGATTTTTAAGTCCATATGTTTGATAGTTTGATAGTTTATTTGACACTAAAACTTACAGCTCCAGAATATAACTAATTCCACTGCTGAAATATGTTAGGTTTACAAGGATATTAAAACTAATTTTACATGTATTTGTTTAAGAAAACGAATAAGATTAGACTAAATA